ATTATTATTATTATTATTATTATTATTATTACACAATTTAGGTTCGTTCATTAACAGCCAAACTAAAAACAAAAAATAGTATAAAAAAATTGAGGTTAGAAGAATTACATTACATTCAATCTACTTAAGTTCTTTTCGAAGTGCGTATTATATTAAACAATTAAATACATAAATAAATGTAATACACGTTCGTAAAAATATTTGTAACTCTTCACGGCCGCTTCCGTAAATTTGAAGTATTCCATAAATTTGAAGTATACCATAAATTTCCAGAAGTTAAACAGTGACTCTGCAGTAAGCTTTCTGAAAAATGTCGGAAGAAAAGATAAAAGCACCGTGCAAGGTTGAAGCTTCATGAAATAAAAATTATGTCTGCAAGGTGATTACGTCTGCCCCTCCCCCTCCCCCCAAAAGTCTGCTGGACTTTGCTTTTCAATCGCGTTGTTTTCGATGCAGGCTGGCCTTGCAACAACGATGAAGCGTGCAACAGAGGCAGATATTACCTGGTTGTGTAGTGAACTTGCCTTGTTACAACGAAACCAGATATTTCAAGAGTATAATGAATCGGATGGATATCATGCCATGGAAATCACATGACACGCATCGATACACATCGAACACGATTCATTGCTCAATGTTGTACACGTTGTAAACATACCAACCGTTCCATATTAGGCGCATTCTGGGACGCGAATGCAACCGTGAAATTTAACAACTGTCGCGCGGGCCAATTATTTGCAAAGTGGACAGCCTCGCGATCTTTGTTACCTTGGGAGATGTGCCATCAAGGACATGATTCTCAGCAACATTTCCCCATACGTGGGGAATGTCGCTCGATACTTTGCCTGGCACCCGACACATTTCCGTTCCTCACGATATCGTTTGGAATAAAATGGTCAAACGTAGGCGTGGATTAGAATGTTACTGGAGTGGCGAAAGCTTCGATACTTCTAACGAACTGTAAAGTATCTGCTGTACGACATTAGTGTACCGTGGTGAAGTCATCGTACCGGTGACAATGAAAAATCGTCGATAATTCGAGGTGGCAGCTTTGTAAAAGAGACTCATTTTAAAGCTTGAAAACTTTGAAAACTACAGTTCATTCATCCCGAAAATGACTTTGCATCAAACAGTTGGTGGGATATTTTTTCCCCCTCGAAAACTCAAACGTATGCAGAAATATAGAAGAAATTATTCGAAGATTGAAGAGTCTTCTTTCACTCAAAACTTTTTGTAAAAAAATTCAATCTTCAAAATGATGGTAGATCTAGCCAAAATAATTTTTTGATATTTTCACGTGTTTTATA